TCCGCAACCCAGCTATACTGAGTCCTTGGAGTTGGAGGCCAGCAAGCACACTGAAAAACTGTGTGGACAGACTGAAGTTTTCTGACTCCATCGATTCTGGTTGCTTTTTATTGTCCGTACACAGATCAAAAGTAAGTAGGATGTTTTCGGGCTGTCCCAGGAAAAAGTCGTCCGTCATGCCGAACGACACATCTTCCAGGTCATCCACATCAGGGTCCTGTTCGATCGTGTGTAGTACGTCTATTTTAACAAAGTCCGCAGGCCGTGTCCAGGTCTCCACACCGGCAGGAGCATTGTTAGTAGGGTCACTGAACTGTTTCCAGAAGAAACTTGGTGCGCGAATACGCTTTTCAAATTCTTCTTCCAAATCCCTGACCTGTGGGTCATGTTCGAATGTGGTAAGTTCCATGAAGGCGGAAAGTGGCTGTTCACTGATCTCGTACTTTAGCTTGTCTGGATTCCAAAATGATTCACATCGTCCGGCAGCTGCCATTATCTGTAGAAAGTTGGGATAAGAGCACATGAGAACGCATCTCCGACTGGCTGAACCTCAGAAATGTGAATTATAAATTTTTTTCCTGTAGGAGTAAAGGAATCATTCTAGGGGTTCGCAAAGGGTTTTCTTTCCGTATTCCAGCATAACATTGATTTTTGAAAATTCAAGTCAGTTGTGCTTCATTGAAGTGCAGTAGACGAACAGTACTCCGTCGTCATATTTAGCAACTTTAATCGAAACTGATTGAAATTCCGGACCCGTCGGCTACAGCCTATTTCAGGTATTTGATTAGCATCAGGACTGGTCCCTGTCCGAGGATTGCATACAATTCAAATCAGCGTACAATAATTGTTCTCAGATGTCCCTGGTGCTGCCATTATTTGAACTTTGATGCGATAGGAATATTACAACTCTGCTGTTCAAAATAACGGTCTCGCATTTAATTAGAAATTACGGACGGCTCGACAGTTGACAGTAAATCGGATTTACTCATTCCCAAAATACGACGCTGGCAATTCTGAAAGTGGTGAAAAATGATTGTCGGATAGATACGCTTAATTGAAGGAACGACAACTCGCAGACTTTTATTTTGCATTTGTATTTTCGGACAGTAACTGTAATTCTCTTGCATCAG